TTGCAGCTCATTAGAAGTCATTTGCATCATTTCCACTTTCCTCATCTGTAATGACCGCTGCATAAACACGCATTATCGAGGTAATGGCTGCAACGAATGGATCACACAGGGCATTAAATAGGAAAATTAACTCGTAGGGTGACCTGAACAACAAATCCCCGGTTAGGTTCCCTGCTGGATGGGCCTTTACTGTGTGTCTCTTCCCTGCTTCTCTCAAAAATAAAGACAAAATAGTGCTTAAAAAAATAGCATTAACTTGTTCGGTTTCAAAGCTGGAGCGTGCAGGATGGTAGGAACGGCAGGAGGAAGCTGGATTTTAAAAGCTTGAATCAAAAAACCGTCCACTGCACACCAGATAAGAACCCGTCCAGCTGAAGCAGAACAACAACGGCACCACTTCTTGCTTCATCCAAACTATTTCTACTACTCGTCTTTCTTTTCTCGCTTTGTGCAGGAAGCAGCAGGTTGAAGCAGAAGATAAATGTGAGGCTGCACCTTCCTGTGTTAGCTCGAGCTAACATGCTAGCTGCAGGTTAGCTTGAGCTAATGGTGCACCGTGTCAGGTGAATTGGTAGAGGATGGGAGACAAAATGTGCACGATATTGCGACATAAAGGCGTCAAAAATGCAAAACAGGTAGCTTTCACCCACAGCGAGCATCCGTGCATGTTTTCATTGACAGCGATATGAGATATTACTGCTCTGAAACACGACAAAACAGAAAGAAGTGAAGGAAAAACATGGGCTGAGGTTCTTGTGGCGTTCCTGCCGCCTCCGTCTTTAACGTGAGACAAACACGAGAGTTCATGAGTCAAGCGAAACCGAGCGTGACTCATTCTGAGCATAAAGTTTAAACATCAGTATGTGAGAACGCCGTTAACTTTTCCAGCTCTCTGGCCTCAGACTGCAGTCGGGACTGAGCTGGTTTGTTTCAGCCGAAGCCACCGAGGAGGCATTCTGGTCCAGCTGAGCCACATGTTCCATCCACAGTCCGGCCCTCTGCGGACGACGTGCTTTAGTTTCCTCCGTGTTCACGTCGCATCACAGGCTTGTTTTTATTGTGCAGAAAAACTTTTCTCGTTTGTCAGCTAACATGTCCTGGATCAGGTTGTTTCAGAGCGTTTT